GTCACCCATTTATAATATGATACATATTTTAGCACATGTAGCATAGCTAAAATGATTTTAGTCCTTTCTACCATCAGCTCTACCTGTGTGTGACTGAGAAAAACTGTTAACAGCTCTTGCCCTCATTTGTCTCTCTTATAAAAATGAGGGGTCTAGACTAAAAGATCTCTAAGGCCCCTTCAAACTCTAAAAGTTTGAGTTTAATAATATTTTTTCTTTCACTTCAGGTGGATGGATGGAGGGTTTTTGGACCTCAATGGGGAAAGCATGGAAGCTGATGTAGAAGAATTTTCCCGAGAAATTTTTAAGACACTGAAATTTTTCCAAATGAAGCAAAAGAAAGAATTACAAGAAAAAAGAAAGGCAGCAAGAAGACGATCTTTGGAAGAAGAGAAACCTGAAGAAGAACCAAAAGAGAATCCTACTATTACTATGTGCGCTACAGTAATGGAGCAAATTAAAGTTTTTAAGGTATAAACATATTTAATGACATTTTAATTTAAAAAACTTTATTTCTAGTATAAAAGTATGCAGTTGTGTGGCATGAAGCCAAATAAATAATACTACAGCTGTTGAAATACCCATGTGATTTGGGCAATGTATGAAATATCAATTAATAATGAGTCAAATTGACATTTGAGAGAGTATTAGAGATTGTTGTTGGTTCTTCTCTTTTTCATAACGCCTTAGATTTTTCTATATGATGTGTTATATCTGGAGTTTCTTTTGTAGGAATCCAAACGTCAAATGAGTTATTTTTTAGATGTTTTTCTATTTCCTCAAGAAGACTTAGCTTTAAATGCAACCGTCCTCATGTGGCCTGGGAAAATTAATCCAATCTTTGATGCAAATGATGAGGTAAATATACTTTCGGTATATGTTTATGTATTTTGACATTTTAAACACAGTGTTCACATTTAATTTTCATGCCTACTTGCCACCTGCCTTTAAACGTAACTGTGTGTGTCAATGTGAGTTTGAGGCTGGCAACATTCATGACCCTGTAGGCTTAGGACAAGCTGTTAGGCTTAACTCACAAGATCTGGTGAGTAGTGGGGCTGATATTAAAAGTTAGAACTATTATATTAATTCATAATCCTAAACACTGAACTAAGTGCTTTCCATTTATTTAATCATTTAATACTCATAAAAATCACAAGTACTCCCATTTCCCCTGTTTTATAGGTTTAAAAAATGAGACTCAGTGAAGTTAAGTAACTTGTTCAGTATCACAGAGATAAGAGGTAGTAGATCCAGACTGAATGTATTTCAGATTTCGAAGAAGTCCTGATGTAAACTGGTTTATCCTAAATTGGGGGGTAAGATGTTACAGTAATGAAAAGCATGGGCTTCAATCAGACAAACCAGATTTTGACTTTCATGCTTTTGCAAACTTGGACATGCTTCTTGACTTCCATAAGCCTCAATTTTTTCATCTCTGAAATGAGGATAATAATAATAATAATACCCGTGGTAATGTAGGTAAGATGTTTAATAGTTCTTAATACATGGCACATGCTCAATAAATGGTAGTTTTTATTATAATCCCAGAATCTGTTAAATAATTAAAGCATCTAATTGAAAAATAAGAGTTATGAAAGTCACTTTCGAGATCTAGGGAAATTTTTCTGTGTGGTCTCTTATTCTTTGCATTTTTATGTCAGTTGTTATAGATGACATTTTATTTTCGTACTCCTTTTTACTTCTCTGATGTTTTTTATTACTATACAAAACATTTAGATTTCTGATTTGGTAACTCTTTGTGATAGAATAACTAACATATTAAATTGTCTTTTAAAAAGCTCATTGAGACTGCTAAACGTAAAAAAGAAAATGAACTAATAGCCAAGAGAGAGAAACTGATTTTGGAAATAGAAAAGGAATCATGCCGCATGGAAGAATTTACAGAATTTGCAGAGCTGGAACGCATGCAACAGGTCTGATAAATACAGAGGGCAATAGTTATGGCCAGCTCATGGAATGATACAGGACACATTAACATAAATTTAAAAATATAGAAAAATATGCTTACTATGGCAAACAAAGACCTAATTCTTAGGCCTGGAACAAGAACTATGTTATCTTTTTTGCAACTCAATTGTCTACCTGTGGAGTAGACATCACCACACCTTTTGTTCTCTATCATAGTTATGTTGTGAAGTTAATATTTAAAGTTGCTGTATAAATGCACGGACATATCCTATGTATTATGATGTGATCTTATTTTTAGAATATTACTTGGCTGTTTCTTGAGATAAAAAAATTATTTGTTTTCAGTATGTGACAGATGTAAGACAACTACAAAAACGTATTCAGGAATCTGAAGAAGCAGTTCAGTTTATTAATAAGGAAGAGGAACTTTTCAAATGGGAATTGACAAAATATCCTGAACTGGATAAACTAAAAGTTAACATTGAGCCCTATCAGAAGTTTTTTAATTTTGTTTTGAAGTGGCAACGATCAGAAAAACGGTAATTTCTGGTGGTGTAATGAAAATTAAGCAAATGATATAAAAGAATTTGTAAAATTCAAATTGATTTTCTTTTTGGTTAAGTGTTTAAAAGTAGGATATATCTGCCCATCTGAGAAAGAAACAAATATATAGGAGAAGCATCCGGTGCTGCTAAGGTACCACCTAACCTTACTAATACAATAGCTGAGATCCTTTTGTTGTTCGTAAATGTGATGATTGTGTTCTCATGCTCACACGTGAGATACGCCTTCCTCAAACCTTGGTACAATGTTGGCACGTTACCCATTCGACATGAAAAAAAAATATATATATATATAATATTTGAATTGTCATTTGGGTTTTCCAGAGTCAATTCACTTTTTTATGTAATT